CGTCAGGTAGGGAGGTCCTCAAGACGGAAAGTGGTCAGGACGGGAAGCCCTTAGGTCGGGAAGTCCTCAAGAAGGAAAGTGGTCAGGTCCGGAAGTCCTCAGGTCGGGAGTTCCTCAAGACGGGAAGTGGTCAGGTCGGGAAGTCCTCAAGACAGAGAGTGGTCAGGACGGGAAGTCCTCAGATCGGGAGGTCCTCAAGACAGAAAGTGGTCAGGACGGGAAGTCCTTAGGTCGGGAAGTCCTCAAGACGGAAAGTGGTCAGGTCCGGAAGTCCTCAGGTCGGGAGTTCCTCAAGACGGGAAGTGGTCAGGTCCGGAAGTCCTCAGGTCGGGAGTTCCTCAAGACGGGAAGTGGTCAGGTCGGGAAGTCCTCAAGACGGAAAGTGGTCAGGTCCGGAAGTCCTCAGGTCGGGACGGCCTCAGGTCGGGAGTTCCTCAAGACGGGAAGTGGTTAGGTCGGGAAGTCCTCAAGACAGAAAGTGGTCAGGACGGGAAGTCCTTAGGTCGGGAAGTCCTCAAGACAGAAAGTGGTCAGGACGGGAAGTCCTTAGGTCGGGAGGTCCTCAAGACAGAAAGTGGTCAGGACGGGAAGTCCTTAGGTTGGGAGGTCCTCAAGACAGAAAGTGGTCAGGACGGGAAGTCCTTAGGTCGGGAAGTCCTCAAGACGGAAAGTGGTCAGGACGGGAAGTCCTTAGGTCGGGAGGTCCTCAAGACGGAAAGTGGTCAGGTCGGGAAGTCCTTAGGTCGGGAAGTCAACAGGTCGGACAGACGGATGGTCAGCAGGTCGGACAGACAGGTCTGATGGTCAGCAGGTCGGATAAAGTAGGTCGGCTGGTCTAGCAATTGGTCTCTGGAATGGTCGGTCGGGCAAGTTGAGTTTGGGAACTGGTGGAAGCGTTTGGCGAGACGGTGCAAGGCACGTGTCAATAAAGGAGGAATTAGAGAAGGTAGATTAATGGCTAAATTGTCATTTTCGAAATGAGGGACTGGATAGACTTTTCAAGTGGCAGATCCGTACAATCTCGTCTTTTCAAGCCAGTACAAAGATAGGTAAGGACTAAATTGTCATTTTCGAAATGAGGGGCAGGATAGACTTTTCAAGTGGCAGATCCGTACAAACTCGTATTTATATGATATAATATATCTAGAAAACCACGTAAGAAGGTGACCCTACGAAGTGTGGACATGGTGCATGCATGCACATGGCACATGCACAACTTAATCAATACATACATACACATAATATAATAATACCAAGGTTGACATAATAAAGCCATTATTGAATGAATGACTGAGTGGACGGATACATGCATGTCACCAATTAGTATTATTATTATTACTCATTTTTTCCCATATTTATATTTTTATTTATTTTTTACACGAAATTTTAAAAATATTAGTATTATATTGGGATAAAGTAGAAATAAGAGTAAAAAAACTAAATTAACCCTATTAGTATTGTACTCCCTGCGCCGTTTCTGTCTGTCCCACATTCCATGTCACTTTCATTTTTTGGAAAATGATTACGCACTTTAATTTCATTTTAAACTTTTTAATTTATTTTATTTTTAATTTTAATTAAATTAATTAGTTATTTTAATCTTAATTTATAATTATTTATATTATAGGATAATTATTTTACTAATATATTCTTAATTATCTACTAATTACACTCCTCCTAAAATACTGTGTCTACAGTGTAGCAGACACGGTGTATATGAGATGGATGGAATATGATAAAAGGTAATGACATTTGTGTAATATATTGTAAATTGGAATGGTATTTATACTGTTAGGTAGACAGTACAATTACAATATAGATACTTTATTAACGGATCAAAATAAAAAAAAAAAATTAAATTGTTAAGAGACGAAAAAAAATATTATTTTAAAATTTAATAAAGAAATTAGGCATTAGATCTAAGAATATTATTATTTCGAATTAAATAAAGAAATTAGGCATTAGAGGTAAGATTGGGCCGAGCATATTCTTATCATATATATATATATATATATATATGAAAGAAATTATCATTTAATTTATTAATACTTTGATGTGTATTTTCAGGAAGTTTGGAAAAATTTAAGATTGAGTTTGATTTTTATTTGAATTTTACGGTGAGTTTGAATTTAGGTGTTTCTTTTGTGTTAAGGTTTGGATTGGGTTCAGAGAGTTTTGATGTGTATTGATTTGATGGTAATGAATATAATAATATAAATGAGTATTAATTTGTATAATTTTATTATAAATTTATATTATATCAATATATATTTTAAATTTTTTTTTTTTGTATTATAAAAAAATTTATTCTCTACAAAATGACATATATATTGTATATATTTTATTACATTATAATTACTATAAAAAAAATTTAATTTAAATTAAAAAAAAAAAAAAAAAATCGCATCAGACTTTGTCCCCAAACCGTGACAGTCTAATTTTGAGCAAATTTACTGAGCCAACGGCCCAAAACTGGGATGAAGAAACACACTATTTGTCTAACCCTTAACTGCAACGGTAAAAATAACTCTATATATAATATCTTATATAATTTCCATAAAATTAATTCAAGCCATCAATTTTCAAAACTCTCTATATATGCTTTTAAAGTTTTAGTATGATTTATATAATAATATTTAAAAAATATTATACTAAATATTTATTTTCTTTCTTAAGAAATTATATCAATTATTTTATTATTATTTTTTTTTTCAAAATTATATATATATATATATATAAACACATATATCTAAACAAAATAATAACTCATATAAAGCGTTGCACTAAGGTGCATGTATGTTTGTTTGAAAGATTTCATCAGATTTTTACAATTTATAAAAGCTTTTGGATTGTCTATATTGTATATGTAAATTTTGTATATCCCGACTCTCACGACAGTTTGATCCAAAAAGCCGCTATTTGATTTTTTTTTTGTGTCTGCAAAAATGAAAATTAGTAGAAAATTTATTGATTGGAATGAAAGAAAAAAAAAAAAGCTTTAAAATGTATTTCATTAAAACTTAGAAAGAAAACACGAACGGAATCAAAAGAAAACGATAGAAAAATTGGATAGAAGTGCGGAAAAATAAATTGCGATAAATATAAAATACTGAAAAATAAAAATAAAATATTGAAAATAAAAATAATCTAATTCTTTTAATTATTTGAGTAACCGCCAAATGATTAACCACCAAATACTGAAAAATAAATTTAAAATAATGAAAATAAAAATTCAATTACACCTCATTAATAATCATTAAAGCCTCCGCAGTTATTACTTATATTTTTTCCTCAAGACTGCAGATTTTCCGTAGCGACCTGGACCTTCGTCTACACACACATACAAACACACGGACACGCATATATATACACATAGACTCGCACACAGACACATATGCATACACAAACTTACAGAAAGACACCCATATACATGCACAAATATATACATATACACGTGTGTGTGTATATATATATTTAGCAAAATATCATTAAAAATTTCTATAATATATATATATATATATATAACCAATAGTGAACTTAAATACTCCCACCGTTTCATCGCAAGACTGTCATTTTTTATTTTTGTTCGTCCCAAAATAAGCTTATAATTTCCTAATTTAGTAACTGTACTATCTACCTAACATAATAAATACCCTTTAAACTTACACTATATTATACAATACTAATAGGGGCATTTTCGTTTTTTCACTACAACCCATTATAATACTAATATTATTGCACCAGGATGGAGGAAGTATATTAATATAATAAGAAAAAATTGTTTATAATTCCTCCGTAGTTTCGAAATATAGCGTAAATCTTTCTATATTTTAAAATTTACATGACATCCTCTCAAAAATATTGCATGAAACCTCATTTTATACTCCCTCCGTCCTATAACAAAGTATCAATTTCCTTTTTTAATAACTGTATTATCTACGTAATATTATAAATACCCTTACAACTTACAATATATTACCCAAATGCCATTACATTTATATCACACGTACTAATAAGATTATTTTGGTCATTTTTACTTTATTCATACTCTATCCCAAGCAAATGGATATTTACTTATGGAACGAAGAAAGTATTTTATTTGTGATACGAAGGATAATTTTCAATCTATATTTTTTGCATATCGAAAGATTTTATACAATATTTTTTAAAATATAGAGAATTTCATTTAATTTTTAAAATATTGAAAGAATTTACATTAAATTTTAAAATTATAAAAAAATTATAAGTAATTTTATCGTATAATAATATATACCTAGTAGAGCCCACAAAATATATTTTTTTTAAAAAAATAACAAAAATCCATATGGCCGTCCTCAAATATATAAAACATACAACATACTGACTAAATTTATTTAAAATATTAATATTCTTTACAATTTTATATATATATTTTTAAAATAATTTTAATTGAATATTTTATTATAAAAAATTATATAGGAGTATACTTTTACAAAATACTTTCCTCGGGATTGAATATTTTTATTATATTAATATTTAATTAATTTAATAATTAATTATTATATTATTTTTATATAATTAATAATATTAATAATTTTAAAATAAATTTAACATATATTGTTAAAAATTAGAATATATATTTAAATATTTTAAAATTATATTGTAATAAAAAATATAAAAATTATATGAAATATAAATATTATTTAATAAAAAATATAATTTTTATATGATACAAATAAATAAAAAAAATATTTATTTATTTATAATTAACATAAATTAATTTTATAAAACTAATGAAATTTTAAATATAAATAAAATTATTTATTGTTTTATAAGAAAGTATAAATAATTTTTTTGAATAATAGTTCATGATATTATATATATTATTTAGTTAATTAATTTAATTTAGTTAAGTATGATCGGACAGTAGAAATCTAAAATAATAAGATTAAAAAATACTAGTATTTGGAAAAGATACAAATAAACAATAAATAAATAAATTACTAAACCCTTATCCCACCAGTCCACCACAGCCCGCCGTCTTTTGTCTTCGTCTTCTCCGGCAGTTCCTTCAACTTCCGTTTCACCGGCACCCCCCAGCATCTTCACCATAGCCTCTCCTTCTTCCTCTTCTCCGGCCCTGTTGTCATCTTCGCCTTCGCCTCCCTTTTCTCATTTTTTCCTTCATCTTTAATTGTTTTACGGTTTGCCGGGCGCCGCGTCTTCTTCACCTGCGTTTTACTCATTACTGTCCGCGCAGCAGTCCCCATTGCGCCAAATTCGTCGTCTCCGGCAGCTCTTCGTTGCCTTTAAATTCATCTACTGCTGATGGCCTCAACCGGCATACCCAAAATCTGAAAGGATTTTGCGAAGGAAGCATATAAAATGGTGAACTGCTTCATCTACTTTTAAGTTACTTCTGCATTTTCTCATATTTTCCCTCCAAGCCGTAATATGATGGTTGATGGGAGATTTATCGTCATATTTAGTGCTTCTGTTAGTTATTGAGATTATATATGTCGATTCTCATCACTCTTATGTACCAAAATCATTGTAGAATGTGATTGTAGACTTGCAAAATGAAATTGTATTGAATTATTAAACTCACCTGATTCAATTCTATGACTCCTCATCTGTTCTATCCAACATAAACCTCTATTTTATAACTGGATTTCAATTTCCACTTGAAGTTTCCTTATTATGATTTGCTTTTTTTGTTTTGGGGTTTTGATTTTGAGTTTGGGTTTTTGAACAACGAAAATTTGAATTGGAATAGCTATTTGTTGTCAAATAAATAAGTGCTATGTCATTTTTGGATGGAAAGTCGAGTTTTAGTATAATATAGAAAAAATAAAAAATATGTGTTTGATTCATATTTTAAGGGAAATTTTTTGGAGGAATAGTAGAAATCCTCCAAAATCCCCAAACAAACACACCCGAAAGTACTTACATTCTATCTGTAATCTTCTTCATCCCTGTGTTGATCTGATCTGCACAATCTTTCTAATGTATTTGTCTTCATTCTATGCTTCTGTACTAATGAAGTACCTATCAGCCATCTTATGAACAGGTCCAGGGTTATGGGCTTTGTATGCTTATCTTAGCAGAACAAATTTGATGTGTCCTGAGTATGTTATTTGCCATTGCATTGTGATATTTTGATGTTCAGTATGTATACACAAAGAAACAGCTTGGGCTTTACTTAGCTTGATCTACATTTTTGCTATCATCTATATTTTGGTGAATTTATGAAACTATGTTTGCCTTGTGAAGAATTTCTCTAATGCATTCATCTCTCCAGGAAGGTAAAAGGCAATGAACTGGAAGTTATGAGAAATGATTCCTCTCTTCCATCTTCGCAACACTACAAATCGCCACTACTTTCTCTATAACAAGCGCTTCTTTATAAATGCGAGAATCAAATGGGTCCGTGATCCCTACCTTGACAAAGCAGTAGAGAGGGAGAAAAACCTTAAGCCTTTAATCTCTCTCAAAAACCTTATCCTTTCACACCCTTCTCAAACTCTACCACTGTCTACTGCATCACCCTTAAAGCCGAACCTTCATCTACCAACCACTGTTGAGAAATTTATTCAAAATTATCCGTTGATTTTCAAAACATTTCTCCCCCCTAATAAGTCCAATTCCCTTCCTCATATAAAACTCACCCATAAAGCCCTGGCTATTCATCACAACGAAAATTTGATTCTAAATTTTTCTCATTACCGAAAAGATGTTGCTGAGAGGCTGGCTAAGCTTTTGATGCTTTCACGAGTTGGAAAGCTTCCTCTGTTTATAATAGAAATGTTTAAGTATGATTTGGGGTTGCCTCATGATTACATATTGACATTGTTGCTGGAATTCCCAGACTATTTTCAGATTTGTGATATGGGCTTCCGGGATTCTAATGGTGATCTTGTTTTTGGTTTGGAATTAGTTTCTTGGAGAGATTATCTTGCAGTATCGGAAATGGAGAAGACGGTTATTGGGGAAGGGAAAAGTGGAAGAGGCATAAAGTATTTGATGAATTTACCAAGAGGATTTGATTTGGAAAAAAGGGTGTCAACATGGGTGAATGAGTGGCAGAATTTGCCTTACATTTCTCCATATGAAAATGCATTCCATTTGACATCAAATGGAGATCACGCAGAGAAATGGACGGTAGGGTTGATTCATGAAGTGCTGAGCTTGCTAGTGTCGAAGAAAACAGAGAGGGATAATTTGTTTTGCTTGGGAGAATTTTTGGGATTTCAGCAGACAAGGGTTAAAAAGGCGTTGGTGCATTTTCCAGGGATATTTTATGTGTCAAATAAGATAAGAACTCAGACTGTTGTTTTGAGGGAGGCATATAGAAAAAATCAACTGCTTGAGATGCATCCTTTGATGGCTATGAGAAATAGGTACATCAGTTTAATGAATTTGGTATTAAGAAAGGGCAGGCCATTTAGAGCTGGGATGACTGCTCACAGAAAGAAATCAGCCCCTTCAAGAATCAGAAGAAAATTTGATGGCAACACAGTAACAAGAAGCGATGAGGATGATTAGAAGTATAGATGATGGATTCTTGACTAGTTGCTGTGAGGACAACATGATGAATGGGTGTCTTTGTTATTAATACATGTTCTCACAACTTGGAGCATGCACGCATGAATATGGTGTTGTTGCATGCTGCATTTGGTTATGCAGGAGTATTTGATAGTCTACTTTTGGCTGCCAGACCATTGATCATCAGTGAAAGAGGAGAAATCAGACTTTCAAGAGCTTTAGACCATAAAAATTAAAAGATGTCCTATTGTGTACTATGTGTGGCAAGTTAAACTATACAAGAATTAAGTTCTTTGGTTAACAATATATCATATACATGTAGAATTGTTTCTTTAGATTGATTGGAACATGGCCTTTCAAAAATCTCAATGACCCAATCCCACTGTTGTTGGGCATCAGACAACAAATATTGAATGCCATTGGTATTCACTGGGCCAACAGGCTGTACAAGTGTGTTCATAGTTTCCTGTACCATGCTGTTTGTATAGGAGCGCTCATGGAATTTTGTAATTAATGTATGGTATTTTCTGGGTTTCAGTTCTTTCTAGTTCTGCTACTGTTTTGGTTTTCTGGATGGAGCTTTGAGTCTCTCAAAAGCTTATTTGTAAGGTTTCATATTTTGGTGGCAGGTCGTTCATACAGCAAGATGGGCAGGAAGAGCAATGCTGATCTTGAAGTAGTTTTTGGTTCAGAAGGACACTCAGCATTGTTAAGCGCCATGTGTAGCCAAGACAGTGAAGAAGATTTCTTTATCCTTAATTGGACCAAAGATCATCATCAACAAAGATCTCTAGAAAGACAAGGTTTGTTATTCTTTAATTATTATATATATATATATGTATGTACTCTCTCCATCTCAAACACCGTGCAATATATGAGTTTGGCACGAGAATTTAGGTGGGTAGTATTAAGTAGGGTAATTTAAGATAATTTGGAGATTAGGTGATGTGATTGAATAGAGAAATATATTTTATTTATTTTTATTTGAGTGATGTGACGGGATAAAGTGAAGTATATATATATGTATAAAAAATATAATTAATTATTTCTAAATTTGAAAATTTTGCAGTGAGTTTGGGACAAACAAAAAAGAAAATGTTGCAGGGTGTTTGGGAGGGAGGGAGTCCAACATAATATAGCCATTACTATTGTATTATAAGATGATACATTGCATAAAGTATAATATATATGGGTATATTTTTAAATAACTGTGCTCATTCAATTTTTATAATATGTAACTGTTAATAGATGAGTAAAATAAAATGTTTGCCAAAAGTTATTAGGACAATATTGATAAATAATTATTTGTATGCAACATGATTATTTATATCAAAATAATCAGCTAATAACGCTATATATATTTTACTCTAAGATGTAACCTTGCTAGAAGCTTATTGATCAAGCAGACTTGTTCTTTTTCTTTTCGCTTTTTATTTTTCCAATAATTGGTTTATACCTGTGTCTCTTCATATCTTTCATAGTCTCTCTGAAGCTTCTGAACAACCTAATATAAAGCTGGTAAACGGTTTTTTAGCTTGTCTAATTCTTAAGTTTGATTAATCTGAACTTTGGTGGCCCATAACTCATCCTATCTATTGATCCATATTTGATTGAGCTGCTACTTTGTTTTTTAAATGTATCTTGGACTATTTGGTGTCTTAATTAAGAAATCAATTGGGATATGTATGAATCGTGCCCTTGTTTCAGCCAAGAAAATTGAGGAAGATTTTTTATTGAACTTCTTGATGCCAAGGGGGGCTCTATATTTGTTTCTGTATCAACTTTTAAATGTGAGTGTTACGACTTTGAAACCAGGAAATGATCTACAGATGCTTCTTATATGCTGAAACTACTTGCTCAAGATGAATTCTTTTCCTAATTTTTTACTCCCTCCGTCCAATTTCTATTGTCCTAAAGTTTATTTGCACGATTTTTTAGGTGATTGTCTTTTTGTTATGAATTGACAAATTTGTCCTTAATTGTATGGTAGAGATTAAAAGTAATAAATGAATGAAAGGTAAAAATGTAAAATTTGTATTTAAAAAAGAAAATAGGACAATAGTTGTTGGACGTCCCAAATAGGAAAGTAGGACATTAGTTTGTGGACGGAGAGAGTATTATTTATTTTTGGAAAGCAATTTCAACCAACGAGCTCATTTGTTTTTGTTTGCAATGCCAACAGACAGCTTGGACCATTGAAATTGCTGTGAGCTTAGACCCTTGTTCGTTGCAAAGTAGCAAGCTCTTAGATTCACCCATGGTGTGTTGAATACAGATAACATGAGTGCACTGGAACCTGATTTGGGTCCTTAGAGCTTCTTGGATGCTTTTGATCCCAGTTATACCCCAAATGCTGCTGATCTTCCTTGTAGATGGTGCTGCTTTGCATACCAACCTCACATAGGCTCGTGGAACGGTGCTCAGTTTGTCACTAGAAGGAAGCAGATTTTTTGTAGAGGTACCCTTAGGCTCTGTTTACTTATGTTTTTGACTTTATTCTGCACTCTTTTTTCCTTTTGTTTTTCTTATGCTTTTATTATTTCAACAATGAAAATTTAATTTTCATTTGAAGTACTACATCAAAAATCTGTTCTTCAGGTAAATCGCATCCAACATCCATTTAGGGTGTGTTTGTTTGGGGGTTTGGATTTTGGATTGGGATTTGAATAGTAAAAATTTTGAATTTGAATAGTTGTATGATGTGATATAAATAGGGTTTGATATGATGTTTTGAATGTAAAATTGATTTTTAGTATAATATAAAAAATGAAAAATAGGTGTTTGATTTGATGTTTTTGGGGGGAAAAAATTGGATGAATAGTGGAAATCCTCCGAAATCCTTCAAACAAACACACCCTTATATTACATTAAACACTTGGGATGTATTTAAATTAGTTCTAAAAATAGGGTTTGAATGTAATGTTTTAAATGGAAAAAATAGAAGTTGAATACAATGTATTTTAGAGAGAAATTCTGATGAATAATGCCAAAATAAAGTTGAAAATATATGTACAGAGCTTTATTTTTTATTCAACATTTTACTATTCCTGAAACAATTTTCAATTCAAAAATATTTTCAAAATATATTTAATCATAATTTTTGCTAATCATGAGTTTAAACAGCTCCATGCCCTTGACTCCCGCTGTTGCTGTCTTAGTTATGAGATAGTTTATGGATGAGTATCAAGATTTAATGACTAAGAAGCTTGGTCTGCCCAAGTACAATAAGCAACCGATAGTAATGTACTGAAAACATGCCTCTTGATAAAGTTGGACTATACAGATTTCTTCGGTTGCTTTTTTATGTTAAATCTAATACCACCATTCCAGAACAATCACTTTTGATTCCTCTGGAAACCGTCAAGACACATCGTAATGCAAGGACCTCCTGGGTGAAGTCTTACAACCAAGAGTCTAGTTCTCTCTCCCCTCTCTCTCAGTATAGATACTAATTGCAGTAGCTCGCATGCTCTCTCCTTCCATCTTCTCATTTATATGTTTTGTTGCATCCACATTGGCTCCAAGAGAAATGTCTTTATATGTTGAATGGTAGCAATATTTAATATATGGTAGACATAATTTCATACAAATTGATTGATGAAATTTGTATTTCTTACAGTGTTGCAGAATTTATTGTTCAGTATGAATTTATTCAAAATTTTTATAGCAGGGAAGAAAGTGGGATCACTAGAATGCAAAATATAGATTGCTGTTTTCACTGGGCAACCTTTTCATTGACAGCTGCTGTTTCTTATTGCAGAGATGCATGAAGTCTGCAAGCAAATCCAGGCGATTGTGAGTTTATGTAAGAGTCCGTTGTGGTACTTCTCGTATGTTGCCACAAGATTCAAGGAGCAACACGGCGTCCCCTTACAGGTAACACACTTTTTCGATGATCTAATAAGTTCGTGGCCTGATTTACAAAAGGGGTCTGGATGGATTGCCTGATATCGAATGTTTATTTGATTGTACAAAAGGGGTCTGGATGGATTGCCTGATATGGAATGTTTATTTGATTGTGCGGGGATATTTGATTTGTGAACTGAGTTGTTTGATGAAATGCCTGACCTGAACTCTACGGATATCTAAAGCATTGTCGGAAAGAAGTAGATTTTTTATTTCATTAATGATTTTTCTAGATATATTCGAATTCAAAGGGATTATGGAAAGAAGCTTGAGAATCGATAATTTGATGACTATTTTTCAAGATGGGGATTGCTCATGAGTTTTTGGCAAATAAAATAGAATGTTGTAGAAGATGGCTTGTTCAATATGTTTGCCAAGTTGGATTCAGAAAAAATTCCAGGCATATGCTATATTATTAATTGGATTGGTTCGAAATTGCACGAACCAAAAGGTTTGAAGATTCAACACATTTGGACCATGTTTATAGTTTATAAGCTCCATTACATTCTCTATGAATTATCCGTAAGAGATGGTCTGGTGGTGTGGGATAGACACGTGATTGTAAAGTAATGAATTCAAATTTCGACGTCTTTAAATTTTGTCTGCCACATATGATTCGTCTGCTTTATCGGACCTATGATCAGGATGAATTTGTATTCACCATGTTCATATGTATTATTTCTTCGATCCACTTTGTATATATTTATATATATTTTGTTATTTTTTTGTTATCCAAAACATAAATACTTATTTTTTTATTTTTAGTATAGACCAACTTCATTATACACTACAAATATCTTAGCATTTATACTTTATTTTTTCATTAACCTACACATCATAATATTTTTTACGTATCAAAACTATCACTAAAATTATTACTAAAATACAATATTTATTAAACTAGGTACAAAACATGAATGTATATTTTTTTTAAATGAACGGATGAAATATCTTTTTAGTCAAAATAAATATGCTCTTATTATTCAAAAATAAATAAATTAATTAAAAATTTAATGTTAAATATTAATTTTTTATTTTTTATTTTTATTCATAATATAAAGGAACACCACAAACTAAAATTACTAACAAAAAAACACTCTAAAAATTTGTATAGTAATATATGAATGTAATAAAATTAAAGGTGTGTTTCTTCAGCCAACCGGGACTGCCACTTGTAAGCCGACATAGTTGCAGGGCATGCAGCTTTATGCTGCTTAGTTTGTATATATATATTTTTTAAATTTAAAATATTTAAATAATAATTTATTTAATATTTATAATAATTATAGATTAAAAATATATATACAAATAAATAAAAATTTAAAAATATATACGTTGGATATAGTATAAATTTATAATCAAATCATACAACTACTAATTTTATCAATTAAATTCAATATATATTTATATTATCATATTCATTACCTATCAAATCAATACATATCACTCAAATTCAAATTTCTCCGAAAGATACACACCCTAAATTCTCCGGTTGAAATGTGTTTCCTAGTATTTTTTAATTGATAAGTAAAGTACATTTTTCACCCCAATTAAATCATTATTTTTATCATTTTATTTCTCATTAAAAGTAGTTATTTTCTATTATATATATATAATTATTTATAAATACTAAAATACAAATTTTTACAAATGTAATATATATATATATATATTTTTTCCACTTATACTTACCGGGACAAAAATGAGATATACTGATATCATTGGTTTAGGTAGATATATATATATATATATTTTAAAATACTGTTGTAATTGGAAAGCATCCAATGACATATCATTGACTCTATCGTGGGCTTTTCTAAGTTGTAGGTATACTGAGTGCCCTCTTTTTCCACACAAATAATAATAATAATAATAATAATAATCCAAACCCTAAATAAAATTAACAAATAAATAATACACCAAAATTAAAGATCACTCCAATATGATCAATTATTGCAATTTTCTTGATCCTATTCCTATTATATGGAAACAGAAGATCGATTATATAAAAAGAATCATACAAATCGATTTGAAGGCTAACTAACATCAATTACAAAATGAGACATAAATATATATATACATATTATGCATTGGGGATTTCTAAATTTAGATTTGAACAACCTTAGCTTCGATCGATCACTGTACAATAATTTAAGTGGTGAGAAAACACAAAAATCAGCTACTTTTTCTGACTAATATGAATATACAAAATTGACTCTCACTCTACCAAACGTAGAAAAGAGGGAGAGAATCTCTAAAGAATGTCATCAAACTTTCAAAGTTTATATATATATATACACACATGTATGTATGTATACAGTGACGGAACCATCAGTAAAAGTGCGGGAGACAAAAATCGATTTATTCTTTTATTGATTCAATATTTTTTATTTTTTTTAATTTATAGTACACAGCGGCAAAAGATAAAAAAAAAATTGAAAATTTTAAATGTTTTAGAAAAAATTTCAATAAAATTACATAAAATTTAATATTTTTTATACTATAAAAAATAAAATTTAAAAACATAAAAATATAAATTAACATATGGATAAAAATTTTATGATTTTTTATATTACAAAATAAAAAATTAGAAAGAGCAAATTACTATAAAAGATATAATTTTATTTTTTTTTTACATTAAAAAATACATATATTTAGAGGACTGGGGTCAGTTGACCCTCCTAACCTCCATGTAGTTCCGCCACTGTATATATATACATGTGTGTGAAGAACGACACGAGTTCTGTTAGAAATTTTGAAAAAAAATAATAAAATTGTGTTGTTGATCGTTAAAATAAGGGACCTATATATATATATATAATACAAAACAGATTCGATAGACTCAAATCTAAATAATCTAATATATGAATAAGACCAAATCTAAATATAAATCTACTAAATCTAAAACTAAATAATTAAAATATTTCAACAAGTTCGATGGGCATGTTAGAATTGTTCCCATTGCACAAGAAAATTAGGGTTTATGGAAAATTTGCAAAGAACAAAAGAAAAATGATGCGAAACATAACTTAAGATTCGATTCATGGTTTGACTTTTTTATTGTCTAGTGATACTATTACAACAAGTTTTATCACTAAAATGCGAAAATAATATTACACCGATCAAATTGGAGAGTTCGAATTACTACAACCCAAGCTTATGTCCTAAGAGCGACAAAAGTTACCCTCGCATGGAAACATCAATGAAAAGACTTGTCGATAAAAGGGGCTAGTGTGAATAAGGATTAAAAGTTGAATGTTATGAACAAACTTTTCCTAACAATTTTTTTTTTTCGATACAATTTTTAATATATATATATTATATTAATTATCTAACAAAAAGTTAATATTCAATACAAAATACTTCCTCGGTTGTCCTATTATGTACTCAAATATTTGGACATAAGTTTTTTTAATAAAAATGAATAATAATTGTTACTTTTTGTCTTTTATAGTAAAAAAAAATAAAAAACTGATGCACTTTTTACTATAAAAACGAAAATATTTTTTATGACAACTAAGAAAAAAGTGAGCATAAATTTGAATAATAAGAAAAGTATGTATTATATTTTATATTATTGATACAATTCTTCATACTTCACATATAAAAAAAAAAAAAAAAAAAAAAAAAAAAAAAAAAAAACCCATAATAAATAACTTGTACTACATGTTTCGGATAAATATTTAAAAATGGATAATCCATTTAGATAGTTTATGTGTGATTTAAATAATGTATTAATTGGTTATTCGAAAAAAATAATGAAGCAATAAAGGTAGACACACATTATTGTTTTACCCAATTCGATTCAATTGTGAACTATACATGTGGTGGTTGGGGGCTACAATTTAAATTAATTCACTATAATACTATTCAACAAATTTTCTATTAGATTGCACTATTAATTATTCAATTAAAAATAATAATAATAATTGAATTTTTTTTCAAAATATAATTAATGATTAAAGAGAATAAAAAGATAATTTAATATTAATGAAAAATAATAATCAAATATTAAATTTATTACATTTTCAAATATAGTACTCCCTCCATCCCACATACCATGTCCACGTTGCCGTTTCCGTCACTTTCCTTTTCTGGAAAATGATTACACACTTTAATCTCATTTTAAAATTTTTAATTTTTTTAATTTTAATTAAACTAATTAGTTATCTTAATCTTAATTTATAATTATTTATATTATAGGATAATTATTTTCACTAATACATTCTTAATTATTTATTAATTACACCCCTCGTAAAATATCGTGTCTACAGTGTAGCAGACACGTATGTGGAACGAAGGGAGTAATATAATAAATTTAATGGACAAATAAAAAATAAAAATGAGTACCATAGTTAGTTGTACTTTAATGTGTAAAAGATTATTTTGCTACTAATATAATAATATTGATATGAATAAATATATGTTTAAAGGTATATGCAATATATAATAATTTTTATTTACCAACAAAATAAAATGAAACTATTTTAAAAAGACAAAGAATAGAACAACTTTTTAAAGATTATCACGTATGATGCAATCATTGTCTATTATATAAAAGTATATATATATATATATATATATGCTCTCTCTGTCAATTAAAATTAACATTTGGGTCAGTCACAGAATTTAAAAAAAAATAAATACTCTCTCTATCACATAATAAAGTATCTATTTTTTTATTTTATTCCGTCTCATATACTATCTACGTAACATTACAAATATTTTTACAATTTATAATATATTACACAAATGTCATTATATTTATATCACAAAATACTAATAAGGTTATTTTAGTCATTTCAATTTTATTCCTACTGCATTCCAATATAATACTAATATTTCTAAAACTTCGTACAAAAAGCAAATAAATACATAGTTATGGGACGGAGGGAGTATTTTATTGAAAAAGTGAGAGATAATTGCAGGTATTTTTAGAAATTTAGTTAGAAATTAAAGTAAAAAAATAGATAATGTAATAAAATTAGTGGTATTTGTTGTAAATAAATGTTGAATTGAGGGTAGTAATTAAATGTTGATTTGTTGACTTTGCCAAAATTAGTAATGAGATAAATTTACGGGAACGGACTAAAAAAATTCAAATTTTTTACTATTCAAATTCAAATTGGTAATGTTCAAAACATCACATCAATACTTATTTATTTCATATCATACTACTATTCAAATTCAAAATTTTTACTATTCAAGTCACACACC